GGTATGGGTATGGGTATGGGTGTGGGTGTGGGTATGGGTATGGGTATGGGTATGGGTATGGGTATGGGTATGGGTATGGGTATAGTTACAGTTACAGCTATAGTTAAAGTTAAAGTTATAGTTATAGTTATAATTATAGTTATGGTTATGGGTATTGGAAAGGGTATGGGTACTGATATGGCTAAGGGTGTGGGTATCAGTGTGGGTTTAGGAATGAGTGTTGTTTTTTTAGGTATGGTTGTGTTTATGAGGGATGATGTGGTATGGGTGTGGTCGTCCACATGCAAGAAGTTATACTTGTTTCAAAAAGCAGTTTCATGCACACAAGTTTCATATGATGCACATGCAGTATCAATTTAAATTATCAAAAAATAAATGTTGAAAAAATAGGCTTTTATATATATATCAATCTATATAATTCCTTTCACATTATCTTTCAAGACAAAAAAAAAAAAAAAAAAGAAAAAAAAAAATTATATAAAGGTTAAAATTAAAAAAAAAAAAAAACATTTCCTACCGAATCCTGCGGCTCAGGCACATGAGGTGCGGAGTGTTGTGGAAGCACTAGTAGGATTAGAGAGAAGACAGCAGCTACCAGTGTTATTCCTACTGCCACCACGACCTTGCTGCGCGCACAAGCTAACACAGCCACCGCCGCAGCCACCCAAATCACAACCAGCACTGCCACACCCACTCCTAGGCCAAGCACCCTCATATCAAATCCAGCTGCCACGACATACACATTACATAGCTGGGTGGGACGTACTCTTATTAATCCTACAGTATGGGGGGAAAAAAAAAATGTATATATATACTTTACGTGGAAATCTGGGATTATTTAGTGTCAAGTATAATACATATCGTGGATATCATCCGTATAGAAAAACAGGTATCTTTCCTATAAAAAAAATATATATATATTAATTTTAAATACATGCTGTAAATACATGCTCATAAGTAACTATTCACTTTCAAAAATCATAACTATTAGGGTATCTTAATCAAAAATGATGTCTATTACATGAACCCATTATCCAAAATTACATCTTTTGCTCCAATACAGATGCTTCCATAAAGACATAATAAATCAATGCATACACATAAATTACATTTTAAAAATCACAAAAGCCAACTTCTTCCATTCATGTCTTTCCCTTTTAATTTTCTGTTTCTCATCCTTTCCCTTGCTTTCCCCTTCACTATTATTCACCTCTCTTTATTCATCTTCAAAAATATGAATAAACCCTATTGGCTCAAAACTGCACTGAAAACAAGTTGGGAAAAAGTAAAAAAAAAAAATAATAATAATAACATTATATATATATAGTGCATTATAGGATAGCACATGCCCATATATCCATACATATATTAATGAAACAATGCAAAAGTTGCAGACAAAAAAGTCTTTTTAGTAATATGTTAGAATTATGAATATTTTAAAGAAAGAAAGAAAAAATATACCCAGAAAAATTACTGGTAACTAGTTCTAAATAGCTCTCAGGCTAAGTATATTCTCTCATAATAAAGCTAACCCAAAATAACTTAGTACCAGTTTATTGAAGTGATACTGCAACACTATCTTAACCCATTGGCCACGGATTTATGTTCTGTCCCCTGTTGGTTTTGGTGAATTTTGCTACCTACAGATGGCTCCACATGTACTCAGCCGGCAAGGAGTTATCAGTAGGCCCTAGTTACCGACCCTGATTTTCCCATTCATTGAATTGGCGGGAAAATTAATATCATTGCTTTCGATGCTGTTATTATTGTTACTGATGTTATGATGATTGAATTGTCATTAGAATATTTTTGACAATAAGATGATACAAAAAACCCTTTCCGAAAGTGAAGGAAAAGACTAAACAGGTGAAATAGGTAGTTCTTGATAACTGGCTATTTGGTAATTAAGAACTTGTAGAGCCATCTATGTGTAAATACAATAAATAAACGTGTATCAAAGTGGGTATGGCATCTATTCTTGCCATCCGCGGCGAATGGGTTAACCACGTTATACTATCTTACTCTTTTTTAGTATTTTCAAATATAAGTTATCTTATCCTCCCCAGTTTTATGTAATCTTATCATATGATCCTGAACTAATCAAACTGTCATTCCAGACTTATGGTAAGCATATCCTAATTAAAAAGCTTTTTTAAACATCAACATCATCAGAACTTTGTATTTACCGATAACAGAATGATGACACTAATAATTCTGTGATATTTTATTTCTTTTGATATCACAATTTAAATATTCAATATAAGTATCTTGATGTAATTGGGATCATTCTTAACAAAATTCAGTATAAGTTATAGGTATGGCACTGATACCAATAGATAGGTATATAGGCTAAGGAATATTCAAAGTGAAATTAAAAAATAAAATGCTGGTCCGAGAATACTTCCAGTCAAGTTTAATCAATACAGGGTTAAAAGTTAGGGACAATACGTAGTATAAGGTAGTAGCAGAGTTGGGTAATAAAACCTACATGAAATGATAGAACAATACAAACCAAGACAAAGTTCTTCTATGGCAATATGTGTGCAAATGCTTCCCAAGGGTGCTATACGTCAAAGAAAAGAGAAGATCCCCCAATTTTGGTTGCTCATCTTGTTTACATTGCGAGGGTGAATTCTAGACGCATATACTACCATGGGGGTCCAGGGGAATATATACCACGGTGTTAGGTTAGGTTGGATGTTGGGTTAGGACGTTTTGTTTAACAGCCACGGGGGTTGTGTTTTACCTCATAATTTCCCTGATATACTGATAGTCCCTGCTATCGGGACTATTAAATCAAGATCATCGATGGAGATGGTGATCATATCTCTTCAGCAATTCATTTGCACAAGGAACAATGCCTAGAATCGTTGAAAGCAGTGGATTTCATGCAGAAAAATATTAAAATTGTTTCCTAAGTAACACTACCCTCTACCCTCTTCTACATATTGACCGCTAGGGGGGGGATCTTCTCTTTTCTTTAACGTATAGCACCCTTGGGAAGCATTTGCACACATATTGTCATAAAAGAACTTTGTCTTGGTTTGTACTGTTCTGTCAGTTCATGTAGGTTTTATTACCCAACTCTGCCACTACCTTATACAACATATTGACCAAAGTTAGCTGCGTTTTCTTTTCTTTTTTTTTTATTATCTAATTATATATTATATATCATAATCACTGTTTTGTTACAGGGAGTTGTAGATGTTTAGAAGACACATCTTTACTTGTGTCGACCAGTATAGCTACCAAAAGATTCAGGTAGTTCTGGATACAATATAAGTAACATAATTATGAGAAATACTTAACATTTTGAAAACCAATTGCGGTGTCTTCTAAACATTTGCCATTTTAATATATATACTTTAGTTATACTTGTTTTTTTCTTGGAGGGGGGAGGAGGGGGTAATTAAGCCACAGAAAAACAAACAATATCATCTTATAAATCAATGTAAAAATTACACACAAAACTCTATAACCACATACACACGTAACAAACACAGACATGACTTTGTTAAAATGAATAGACGCAGTGCCTCGGAAAATTACCAAGGGAACTTTAATGACCTCTGCTGATGACAGTCATGGAAAAAAAAACGGCCTCATTTCACCAGGTCCAACTATTGAAGAATTACCATCTTTTTACCTTAAATTCAAAGATTGCAAACAGATCTATAAAAAGGAATGAGCCTTTTTGAGTTTAAGTTTCATCATAACGAAAGATTATTGGGTTCTTACATAATCTGGATTACATAGTCCTCATTCTAAGAAAAGTATTGATTCAGATTCATGAGAACACCAAACTGCGTTAGTAAAATAACAGGTTATGACGTGTTGATGATAAAAACAGGCCAAAATTCTGTAAATTAAAAGAAAAAATTAAAAATCTTTAAAATTCTGTCTATGTCATATTTACCCTATCTCTTCTCACTATTACCTAAATAAAAACCCCAGAATTAATAAATCTCGCCACTTCTTCCTCTATCCTATTAATCAAGCTGCTCGTACAAACAAGTCAGCCTTCTATTTATCTGCAATTAAAAAAAAAAAAACATGCAAACGCACCACCTTCGCGAATCACAACTTTTTTCTTATAGTAGTGTTTATATCAATGGGGAATTCGAGTGTGGGTTAAATCTCCCTATTTTACATTTCGATGGGTTTACTTTCATTTCACATAAAAGTAATTATGTAATAGATGTATTTTAATCAAATCTAATATCTACACGTATTGAAATGTAAAAAATGATTAACGGATAAGTAGAAGTTCTTACTCTACTCATTCTAATTTTGATATTACTTTTGTATTATCAAATTAATTGAACTGATTGTTAGAATCAAAACTGAAATGTTCTATTGATCAAATATCTACATACGTTGTAGCACAAAAGAAAAGTCATAATTCATTTATTTGTGAATGAGACATTCATTCATACATGTCAGTCGTCACGTATTTGAATGCAACCCTATTTCAACTATATTTCGTTCTTATCACTCTTTATCCTTGTCATCTGTGGCATAGTAATGATGGCAGTATACGTATTTAATCGTTACTGATTCATTAACGTTAATGGGAAGGCAAAAAATAGGCTGTAATCAATATAAATGGACAATGTCTTGCAATTACACCAATATTACCACATGTCTGGGAGATTACGTAATTTTTTTTTTTTTTTTTTTTATCTCAGTTATCACTTATCTTCGATCATTCATGAGAAATGGTTATTCTTCACCAGTTTGATTATCATTAATTAGTCATCATCATTATTTTTAAAATCATTCTGGCCGTTATTATTATTATAAAAACAATATTAACAATTATAACATTATCATTATTATTACTTTTATAATAATAATGAAAATATCATCATCACTATCATCATCATCATTGCAATAATGAATATATTATCATTATGCTTCCTATTATGGTGGTGATAGTAATATTGATATCAATGATTATTACCATTATCATTATATCGTAATAATGATTATAATAATTATTTTTATTATTATTACCATCATCATCACTGATATGATCATTATCATTACCATCATTCCCATAATTTTTCAGAAGGTTCATCGTCATTACCATTAATATGACTGCATCAGAATATTTTACTGAAATCAAGAAGAAATCTTAAGTAGAGGGATCATAATGCATGATTCACGAAATATCCACAATTAATTCAGAGTTGCATAAGACATTAATGATAACGGCAGTCATAAGTTCAGAATCGGGCCTGTGTAACGTACGAGATAATGAGATAATGAGAAAGATAATGAGATTTCAGAGATAATGTAAAACTATAGGCTCTAAGGCTCCAAGCACATAAAGATAATACCGCCCATTTAGGTACACCGAGTAGGGACGTAAGCTCAGAACATGGATCTCATATTGTCACATTTTTGAAAGCACTGTCTTGCACAATATCCATCTTGCAAGGAATTTTAGCAAAGTAACTGAATTAGATTGAGTTTCTGCAGGTTAACAAATCTCAGATGGTAGAGTTGGTGATATTCAAAAGAAAATAGAGTTGTGGAAGGAGAGAATATGCGTATATCCTCTATTCATTTTTCCTTTAGAAATGCCGAATAAGACTGTAAAAGCAGGTATTGTAGAACATTTGACCGACCTTAGCTCCACATTCAAATCTTATTCCCTGGCATTTAAGAGAGACCTACACAGCTGAATTAGGTTAGAAATCCAGCCTTCTTATCTGATAACATGAAGAACCTTCCCATCTACGTTGACAACAATGGACTGGGAACATAACTTTGAAAGTCCAACCCTCACGGTTTTGAAACTATGTAAAGAAACATTGTAGGAGAGAAGCCTTTGGGAAAAACTTAGTACCTTTAGTCTACCTATCTTCTTGGACCCTCGTTTTCTGCGATGAGCGGATCACGGGAAAAAAAGAGAAATACACAAACTATAAAACCTAGAACACAGCCTGTTGGTCACTGTAGCAGCTTCACTACCTGCCTCCCAGTAGCTGTGGACGCCATCGACTACTTTGATTACGAGGATAAATTTCTCGGTAATCGTTATAATTCCCAATAATCAATAACTCAGCGATGGCTCCCAGCATGACTTACGCTCTGGATGTATGATGTAGATAGGTGTCTTTCAGCGGATTTTAGTCCGTATGAATCTGTTTGATCAATAAATATACACTGAAAAAGAGACCTAATGATTCCTCATGAATGTGTGAATAGAATCAACAGTCACGGGTCTAACAATGAAGACAAATCTTTAACAGCAAGAGACTCGTAAGAGGAGAGTTTTTATGTACTGCTGCACAGTTTTCACCTCGTTGTCATGTAGACTACAACACAGTTTTTTCAAAATGGACAATCCAGCCTTCTCTGGGACTTACCTGGAGAAGATTTAGGAAGGTGAAAATTGGCGGTACCGAGCAACGGGAGAAGAAAAGCGTGACTGCACGGAAGTAAATACAAAATTTAAATCAAACCAGAAATAGAAAAAAATACGAAAAGAATAAATACAAAAAGTAAAACATGAAATAGCTATCCTGTCCTCCGGAACAAAGTTACGATAAACCTTATTGACTTTTTAACATAACAATGCATATAATAATCATGAATATGCTTTTATAACAGCAATGACAAAATATGTTGATAATGATTGTAATAAACGTGGTCATAATAGTGCCATTAATCAACCCATTCGCCCCATGTGGCAAGAATACATGTCATGCCCACTGTAATACACGTTTATTTATTGTATTTACACATAGATGGCTCTACAAGTTCTTAATCACCAAATAGCCCGTTTATCAAAACTACCTATCTCACCTATTTACCCTTTACCTTCTTTTCCGTCTTTTGTATCATTTAATTGTCTAAAATATTTTAATGACAATTTGATGATCATAACATTGGTGGCAATCATCATAACACGATCACTAACATCAAGTAATGTGTATAATATTATATGTCTGTGTGTGCGTGCGTGTTTTTTCTTTCTTTCTTTCTTTTTCTTTTTATTGTGAATTTAAGAATCTGTATTAACTCGGGTATACAGATAGCGTGTTAAAAAGGTCGCTTTCGAGACCCCTTTTGTTTGAAGAAGCGAAGCAATGATTTATTTATTCGATAGCTTCACATGCACAAGCCTTCGACTATTCACATCTTACGTATATCTCGTTTTGATATATCAGTATGCCAAACATATGCTGCTTTATTGTGTCTGATGGTTAATTCTATAAAGATGTTGACTGCTCTTATGTGTGGTGGTAGTTTGTGTTACTTTTTTTTTAATTACAGCAATATGACGATTTGGAATCCTGCTTTTGAATACGTAAAACTCACTTAATGCGCTCCACTTCATGCCCAGACATAAAAAAACAACAACAACAAAAAAACAATGATCACATATTTATTATAATAATTATGTTTATGTTTATTGCTGTTACTGATTTCATTGTAATCATTACTATAACGACTATTAAGAAAACGTTACGAACAACCAGCAATAAT